GGGGGGGGGGCATTCTTTAGGACAAAAGGGTAAATTGCGGGGCTCCAGGTGTTGTTGGACTGCAGCTTCCATCTGTTCTGGACAGCACAGTCAATGGTAAGAGAAGTCGCTTACCCTAGCTTTAGAATAATAAATCAAATGTGAGAAAAAGAACAGTCTTTTGTTGACATTAGTTTAAATTAAAATGCTCACTGGCCTTCACTTGGGGGCAAAGCTCATTCCTAAGGATTCTCTGTAAAGTCTAGTTTAGTCTTATTTTTTGAGAGCAGATTTCTCCTAGCTATGGGCAACTCTAGCATGTCCATTGAGCTTCTGTTATTTGATTTACTCTCTCCGCATATTTTAGGAAATGGTAATTTGTATTTCTTTTTTGTGTGATCTTTTCTAGTGTCTTCAACAGAAAACTATTTGGTTTAATGCTACTCCCATCTATAGCTGTCACTGGGTGCCATTCTTTCGTCTTCTTTACCATTTTCATAACCAGGAAATTAGAATTCCCTTCTAAAAGTTCTTACTGGAAGTTAAGATTCCTGTGGGAAATTGGTTCACTTGATATGATGTGAAGAATAGCAAAGTTTTGTGACCTCTTTATTAGGACATAACATTTCATGGACTGCTGTCTTGCATTGGTAAAGTGGTTATCATCAATGAAAACCTTTTCCTTAATAAATTTGTTAGCTTTTCAGGTGCTGCAAAACTTTTTGTTCTTATTTTTAAATTTTATATTGAAGGGAGAAAAATAAGGATCCCAGTTTCCTCCTTTCTTTTGCAACTTGATAGCTGAGCTATGGCTGAGCTGTGGCTGAGCTGGCATTTAGACTATTCCTCTGCCAGATTTAAACAGAATTAATCTGAGATTAGTGAATGACTTTCAAGTTGTTTTGATTGTGAAAGTAAAGCTGGTCAGGGATTAGAAAATGCAAACAGCAGAACATCATACTAATAACCTCTTTTTAGCATTTTCATTTATAAGTTTTTTGATTCTGCAAAAGATACTGCACAAAAGCAGACCTTTTTTGTCTCTCTCTTCTCTCCCATTCCATTTTTCCCTGTTATGCCTTGACTGATCATGTCCTTGACTGGGACAAATTGCTTTTTTATGGTGTAACAACATATATTTGTATGTGGCCTTTTTGGCAACTGCTTCTTGCAGAAAGATTCAGGACTCCTACATCTGTTTATACTGTAAGCCTTGATCTAATGAAAATATCCTGAGGATTTTTATTTTTTCTAAGCACAAGTAGCTTTTGATGTTTTGCCCTCCATAGAGTTGCCTGTGTGTTGATGTGTTGACCCTCTCAGGGTGTGTTTGATTCCTCAACATCTTCTGTAAAGGATTCTATACATGTTACAGCATATAGCTGTGTATGAAAACAGGATGATTATAGCTAGGTCTGAGATGAAGGGGAGTGTTCACTGTTTGGCAATGTTTATAGTTGGCCTAACTGTTTCATGAAGCATGCATTACTTATTCACCTCTAACCAGGCATAAAATTGTACTGACAGAGGCTGCGTAGCCAACAGGGCAGAGCTATTTTCGAAGCTGTGTAGAAAAGGTGAGGAAAGAATTGAGGCAGTGATTCTTCTTAAACCAAATACATTTGACATGATTAACTGTTCCAAGGAGAGTCAGATTTTCACTGAAAGTGTAGGTATTTTCTATCTGTCTTGTGCTTTATTTTCAGCTTTGTGGCTAGTATGCAAATTTACTTTGGTTTAACAGCGTTGTATTTTAGAAATGGTGAACCTACATTATATGTCAGAGTAATAGTTGGAGCTTGCAAATGAATTTTTGCACAGTTGGAATTATCTTAAAAGATGGTACTGACCATTTAGAGTGTTTTGATATATTAAGTGGTGTGTGTATAAAATAATGCTTCATTAAGCAAACATTTTGTTGCATTTAGATACTTTAACAGAACTTATCTGTAGAAATGGAACTCTGAATTAACAATGCTGTTTGGAAGATCAAAAGTAGCAATAGATTATCTTGCTGATCATTAATGATATTATAGTGGAAAAGGAGAATTGCCTGTTAATGCTGAATCTGTCCTAGAAAAAGTAACCAACATCATATATGGGGGAGAGTTTATCTAAGAGCTCATTTTAAGAGCTGAGAAAGGGCTAAAATTAGGTTGTTCAGTTATACCACCAGAGGCAAGGGAAGAGAGTACTTTAGAATCCTCACTTGTGTTTCATTAGTCATAGGAGTATGTTACTGGATCTTCTGTACTTTCTTATAAGAATGACAGCCAGTGCTCAAAATACTCCTGGATGAATATACTTAGAAAACTGGAGATCTGTCCCTTTCTGAGGCATGAAAACATATTT